CCTTAGGTGTATGTGGCTGGCGCCTTAGCCGTCTGAGCCACAGGCACTGAGCCCAGAATAAGACTTTGTCTAAAACAAAAACAAAACAAAAGAAAAACACCTCTGTGGAAAGTCTAGGCCAGTTTACCTGGTCAGCATATCTCAACTTGAGGCAAGAGATGACTTGGCCTTCTAGCTCCGAATCATCCTTCGCCTTAGTCAGGATACCATGACAGAACTTAGGAATGTCAGCTTTGCAGGCTTTCCTTAGCACAGGGTTTAAGCGGTAATCTAGAGCAGAAAGCAATAATAAAATATTCCACCTTGATTGACAAATTTTTATAACTCTACCTTCCAAAAGAGGGCATATTATGTCGATGACCATGGCTATAACTACTGATTTGCTTATTCCTCACTATACTATCATTATCAATAATATGATTTAATTGAAGAGTCCTTCTATCAGAAAATGTTACCTTTTGACTTAGTCCCTTAACCCTTGGCCTGAGGAATGTATGAAAAAGGTCTTGGGATGCAGGCATGGCTGCTCATGTTTATAATCCCAGGAGTTTGAGGCTGCAGTGAACTATGGGAGTCCCCGGGATGCCTTCTACTCTACAGTTTTGTGGTCCAATAATCTAAGTAGCCCTTATAATAGCCAAGCAGATATCATCAACTTTCTCCATAACAGATATTTTTGAAAACATTGAGAAGGAAATAGTATCCAACTCACCCCGCCCATTATGTTACAATGTCTTAAAATCTGTTCTAGGCAGCACGTAGCTCAGTGGGTAGGGTACCAGCCACATATACCTGACCTGACCTGAGCCAGCTACACAACAACAGTAACAAAAAGACAGTGGGTGTTGTGGCAGGCACTTGTAGTCCCAGCTACATGGGAGGCTGAGGGAACAGAATCACTTGAGCCCAGGAGTTTGAGGTTGCTATGAGCCGTGATTTCACGGCACTCTACCAAGGGCGACATAGTGAAACTCTGTCTCAAAAAAAACAAAAACAAAAAAATCTGTTCTAAAACACATCACCCATGTATCCTTCTGCCACACTCTTGAAGCTTTAAGGATCTCTAGTCCTGATTCCTTTTGTCATTCATTAAGGGCAATTTTCTAGTTTATGTTCCTTTTTCCTCTTTCATTCCATTTTTCTGGCAGGACTATAGGTGCCTGCCACAACAGCCAGCTATTTTTAGAGATGAGGTCTCGTTCTGACTTTAGGGGAGTAAGTTGTTTTTGCTTACGACTAGACCCCTCCCTTAAAATTCATGGACAACAAAGCATTTTTAGTTTAATTAGGTAATTATATGCCCACTTAATTCCAAGTAACCTATACTCAATGGGACCAGGAAAGTCACACTGAAATCTTACCTGTGTTCTGGGTGATCTGGCGCTTGGTTATCATCTGTTTGCATTTAGGATCCATCAATTCACTGTTCTTATTTTGCTTCAAGCACTGCAGCATGGTTTTAGAATCTGCTTCGGCACAGAACCTCTGCAAAGAACAAAGTTTTATTAAAACAGCTACCCGAAATGACAATTACCACATGTGTAATTTTTCTTACATCCATTGGAGAGCTAAGAAAGCAGCAGCATAAAGGTACCACTTGGTACAAAAGGAACAGCTAAGACTAAATAATCACCCAGCCCAAGTTCTCGTCTACTCTTATTCTCTACTGTATTTCTTTTTTTCTCTTTTTTTTTTTTTTTTTGGAGACAGAGACTCACTTTGTTGCCCTCAGTAGAGTGCTATGTTGTCATAGCTCACAGCAATCTCAAACTCTTGGGCTCAAGTGATTCTTTTGCCTCAGCCTCCCAAGTAGCTGGGACTATAGGTGCCTGCCACAACACCCCGCTATTTTTAGAGATGAGGTCTCGCTCTGACTCAGGCTGGTCTTGAACCTTGAGCTCAGGCAATCCACCCGCCTTTGCCTCCCAGAGCACTAGGATTACAGGCATGAGCCACTGCACCCGGCCTCTACTGTATTTCTAACATTGCTCTCCACTACCTCACCGGTTCTGACTTTGATCCCCTATCTGTACAGCTATGTTAAATTATGGGGTATCTCATAAGTTTACCTTTTGGTTAAACACAACGTACCAATGTACTAAGTGGCCATGTAGCTCTAAAGCCACATCTACCCAACCCTAATGGGAAAACCTAGGAATTGCCCACCAACTAATGTGAAGAGACGTGGTGAAAGGACACATCTGGTTCATCTTAACTACAAGGGCTATAGTCTTACCAAACACTGTGTGGGCTGCTCATGTACACTTATTATTCTTTTCAGTCAGGTATCAATTCTGAACTAGTAATCAACTTCATCTCTATTTTGCTAATCCTCAAGTCTTTAAAGTGTCATAATATCTGAAAAGTCTGGTTGAGACACTTGCGCATCAAGCCTCTCCCTTTCAAGTTATTTCTAGTTCAGTAAAGTGATTATAATCTGCTGGTATCTTAATAAGAGGACATGAATTGCTCACTGATGTTTTTTTAAACAGAATCTCACTATGTTGCCCTGGGTATGACACAGCTCACAGCAACCTCCAACACCTGGGATTAAGTGATTCTTTTGCCTCAGCCTCCCAAGTAGTTGAGACTACAGGTACCTGCCACAACACTTGGCTATTTTTTGGTTGCAGTTGTCATTGTTGTTTAGCAGGCCCAGGCCAGGCTCAAACCTGCCGGCCTCGGGGTATGTGACCAGCGCCCTACTCACTGAGCTATGGGTGCTGAGTCTGCTCATTGATTTTTCCAAACTCTTGCAAAACGCTTTCAAACGAGAGCCTGACATTTCTACTTTTACATATGACTCAATTTTACCAGCCCTAGTTAAAGAGATTTACGCTCCTAACTTTCAGGATTCTCTTTACAATTTATTCCTAGGGTGAAAAGGAAAGGAACATTCTATTTTAAAGGAAAGCTAAAATAGGGAGTTGCAAAGTTAAATTTAATCTCTGTGTATGTGGCTTGATTAAGGAACTGACGTCTAGTACTCCAGTCAGCTCTGCAGTAGTAAATGTCTACCGGTGGAGTAAATGAAACCAAAGAACTTAGATAATTTTTTAACAGGCAGGGTCTCACTCTATCACCAAGACTGGAATGCAGTGGTGCAATCATAGTTAACTGTAGCCTCGAACTTCTGGGCTCATGGGAGCTTCTTGCCTCAGCACGCCTCAAGTACCTGGAATTACAGGTGCAGGCTACCACCATGCCTGGCTAATAATTTTTCCTAGAGTTCAGATCTTACTATGTTGGCCAGGCTAGTCTTGAACTCCTGGTGTCAAGCAATCCTTAGGCTCCCAAAGTGATGGGATTATGAGTGTGAGACACCAGACCCAGATAATTTTTTTATTTTTTGTAGGGATAGGGTCTTGCTATGTTGCCCAGGCTAGTGTGAAATGATCCTCTTGCCTCACTCCTCTAATCTCTGGGATAATGAGTGTGAGCCACTATACCTAGCTCAAAAAAATCTTTTGAGTGTGGCAGACAGATGATCAGGACATTCAAATGGTGGCTTTTCTACTATACCTATTATTAACTGCTCTCAAAACCAATCATGTTTACTGGACATATACAGAGGGTGCCAAAAAATGCATATACATTTTAAGACAGGAAAAACTATACTAAAACTGTAATGCTCAATACATACAGATAACAAAACATGAATAAAAGACATAGTGAATTCTTGTACTTATAGAAGTCAAACATTACTATAAATTATTAATTATAAATTTAATACAGCTTTTTCCTTTTTTTTTTTTT